GTTCCAAGTTCAAGGCGTCCTAAAACTTGTTAGAGCTCCTTGTCCTCCCCACAGAGGACAGAGGCCTGCAGCACACACAAATTAAAATGCATCCGTTTGACATCCTGTCAACAATTTCCTGCTTATTGTTTTACTTTGCTAGTTGTTTTTTGACTCTTTTGGGGACATTAAACAATTGAGTTACGAGCAGAATTAGGTTCTGCTTAGGCCGGCAGAAAGTTTTTGAGGTCAGAAGAGCAACAACAGCCAAATGGCAATTTTATTAACCATTTAAGCAATTTCTGTGCAGTGCCGTGCAGTGCTGTGTATAATGAGCCAGTTGGTCCACACACAGTTAATAGCCGGCACAGATTTGATGTTGAATGAGGCTCATCATGCTATAATGCCCTACCTTGACTTGAGAAAATTGCTGAGCTTCAACTGGCCCTGGGCGGTCTGTAGAGGAGAGTAATGGACAACATCTACCGCAAAGGCTCGTCGGATAGACGTGATTGTTGGACGGACCAGAGCTGCCCGGAAGGTTGGTTGGGTGGTTGGGTGGTTGCGGGGGCCATTGTGGTTGCTGCTCATGTAATTGTCTGTTGCACACACACGCACACACACACACCCAAATATATGTAGAAGCAACTGCATAAATGGTCGCTGGCCACACACATGGACACGTCGATGTCGTTTGGACAGCATCGAGACATCTCTGAGGCAGTTCAGAGAGACAGAGATGCAATAATAGCATGTTGGCTCCTCAGCTCAGTCCATGACTGCCAGTTAAGCTCTGTTATAGTAGATGCACAAGCTGCTCTTCCAGCACTTGTTTGGACTTTGAACGTCATTGGCGTTGTTACTGCAGCTGGAAAAAGCTTGATTTTTTGGTCAAGTGACAATGAGTTTGACTTTGAACTCTGTACAGGCAGGTTGAGTTCACTTATTCACTTATCGACTGGCAGCTGGTCTTATGTTGCATAGTGGCAATATACAGATTATCATCGATGCTGAAATACATGATAAATAAAATATTAATTTGTTGCATGACAAATTCTATTATGAAATCAACATGTTATGGCAGCAACTTTCAAATTAAAGTGAATGAATTTTTTCATTGTTTCCTAACTGGATCATCTCAGTTGTTACTCCTGACCTCATTTAAGCGCCTATGGACTATAAGTAATCCTACCTTTTCTTCTCCGGTGCTGTGGCAAAAAGTTCGTGAATGTTTGAAACCGTATCTAAGAAGAAGTTTTGATGGCGTTGGTTGCAGTTCGTTGTTTTTATACCTTGTGTATCCAAAATTGCTGGTTTTGGATTGATTTTAAATAAATAATATGCAAAGTGATAAAAATGCGTTCGATTCTAAAACACTAACATTAAGAAAATTGCGATAAAAGCTGGACAGTTAATTAACTTTTACGATTTAGATAATTTTTGTTATGAAAGAAAAATAAGAAATAAGAAATATTGGCTAAACAAAATAGCCCAGAAGAACATAAACCATGAGCAATTATTAAAGTATAAGAACCACATAATCCCCAATATCTTATTGTAAATAGTCTAGCTAAAACAATATGGCTATATGGCCAACAGAAGAGTAAGCAATTAAAGCCATTAAATCAGTTTGACGTAAACAAACTAATCTTACCAAAGCTCCTCCTACTAATCTAATACTAATTCAAATAAATCTATATTTTAAATTTAACTGCAAAAAAGAAATAACCCGTAATAAACCATATCCTCCTAGTTTTAATATAATTCCAGCTAAAATTATAGACCCTGAAACAGGAGCCTCTACATGAGCTTAATATAAATTTACGTCAGGTACTCTAAAAGCATATTTAAATTTGTAAGCTTAACATGGATCTATTGATGCATCGATTTTATTTATAGAACTATCGATAGACATCGACCCGACCTTGCTCTTGCCGTTATGTTTTGATAGGTGGCGCCAGCCAAAAGCACAATTTTCAGTAACTCAGCAATTTTCGTAACTATAACGGTGGTGATGTTGATGTAGATGTTGCTGTACTTTTGATTTATAATTTCGTGCCCACCTCTGAAATAAGAAGTAATATTATATACGGTTTTCACTCTGAAAAGCAATTTGTGCCATTGTAAAGTGTCACACTGCCAGTGGTTTTTGGGTTAATTTGGCAACATTGGCTGTTATTTCAAAAGCGCTCTTAGGCTTGCTGTAATTTCCACCGTTTATACCATGAGTTGTTGTAGTTTTTCAGCTATTTTTGGTATTTGTGATGCGCCTGTGTAACTAGAGTTTGTATTTTGTTTAACTAAGCCATGGGTTGGCTTTAAAACCAGCTGATCCAAGTTAATGTTAGCTAACGAAAAACGGGTTAACAAACCATCAATTCAATTAAAACAGCAAATCCACTTAATTTTGATGACTATTAGTGATGATTACAAAAAAAAGCAATGCATACCAATTCAATCAAAGTCAATGCTTGTGAATGTGTGGAGGGAAAATGCTATAATGACTAAATGACTGACAAAATCAGCAACAAATCAACGCGACAAGCTAACGCAGAAATAGCAATGACAACAACACCAACAATAGCAACAACAGTGTCGACAACAAATCAGACAAATTGCATTAAAAATTCTATGGCACTCGAACGTTTGTTGACATGGCGGTTGGGCCGATATACCCGCACTATCACACACTCCCCTCCCCGCCCCATCTACGACCCCCCATCAAACATTCACGACTAAGTGAGTGATTAGTGTCACAGCAAAACTTGTCTGCCAACTGTCCATTAACCAACCAACTGGATAGCGACGACTACGACGACGACGTCGACAACAAATCAAATCAAATGTACTTTAACACGCCCGGGCAGAGTATTTAAGAGATAGCTTAAAAAAAAAAAAAACTGAAAAAGAATTGAGAAATGGCAGAATGATAGAAATGGGCAGACTGCTGGAAAATGTGAGAAGTGGGCAACTGGTGCAAGGCAAACACTGCTGAGCGTGACAATAACAGCTTGACGCTTCCGTTTTACGAGTAAGTGCCGTGAAATTGAGTTCGAAATAGGTATCGGGCTGAGGATTAGAGTTGTGCGGTCTAGTTTAATTAAGTGAACTAGATCTTGCAAGTCGTTTCATCGATTTACATTCGTCGCTCATTTGATGTCCACTTTAAATCTTATTCAATTTTCGATACGTCCATTACAAAATAGGAAGCAATGGACTCGTCTGGTTTGTTTTATCCACGAATTTAACTTTGCATTTCATACTATCCGCAATATGATGCGATTCATTAAGATACGTTTGTTCATTGGTCTTTGAAGATTTCAGCCCCCCAAAACTGGGAATGGATTTTTAAAATAATCGAGGGGAAGGGCCTAGTCTAACAGGTCAAGATCAGTTGCCGTTGGGAATGCTTCTTCTATAGAACAACTGGAAATCAACAGACATGCCCTTAACTTGGGAGGATGGTATATGGGATAACAGCGGAAGCTTAAAAGATACTGTTCTTTTAATTATTGCCATGAAAACAATCACAATACAAGTATTTATGCAACATATCTGCACCGATGGGAATACTTACGGATCACAGACCTAGGCAAACTAGCTGGACTTTTCATCCGGTTCAGTCATTTCTGTAGCTGAAGATGAAGATACGAAGAAAGAAGAAAGTGCCTGCCACACAAGAGTTGAGCCCCGACTTCCCGTAATCAACAGTGTTTTGAATCTGTTCGGTACCGTTGACTGTGAAAAGTCTTTGGCGATGTTTGTATTGCCACTAACTTAGAAGTCAATTAAAAAGGATTTGAAATATATAATTATTGACTGGACTAACAAATTATTCGAAACATTAAAAGTAATTGAAGTAGCTGAATAAAATATTGTGTGAATAAGCAGCATGGCACTAAAAGGAACTGTGAAGTAGCACCAGTCAATAAATGTTGTATAAAAAAAACCCCTTTATGAATCGATGAGTTGATTTGAGCTATTTGTTCAAAAATAATATTCTTCTTCTTTAACAAATATATTAACTCCTTCAATTTGATTTGAATATTTGACTATCCAGATCCAGTTGTTCTTCTTCAGACTATTTGGATATGACTGAGTTAAGATATTTCAAAAGCCTTATTGTTAACGTCTAAAGTCTAGTACTTCCACGGAAATTATATTTTAGTTAAATTATCACTCGACTGAATACTCCATGTGTCTTATAAGAACGTAGTACACTCCCCACATTAATAACTATCCGGGCCAAGTACGTGGCAGGAATTTCTGATTTCACGCATACAAGTACATATAGCAACAATTATCTGCCAGATTTGTGATTTTTGCATACACCTTTACTCTCTTAATTTTCTTACCCTGCACAGCACCAAGATTTCCGAGGCGATATATAATATGGACTGGCCGGCTGCTGATGTTCGTTATCAGAAGATGCTCGTAGTTATGGCTCAGCGAGCGCAGCAGCCCGCATGCCTAAGGGCCACCATATTTTTTTTTTTTTTTTCTTTGTATTTTATTTAAAACTGTCCATCATGGACAATCATTAAATTTGATAAAGATAAACTTCTCAGTTTATTATTTCATTTAGAGTGTAGTTGTAGTATCCGGCTAGTCCCTGGGGAGGTCCAGAGGATGGGTCCTGAGCAGCCTCCTGGTCCGTTCGCTGTTGTCCAGCAAGTTCATCGCCAAGTTGTTGGGGTGGTCATGTAGCCTTTGCATGTACCGCTTGCTGATTTTCTTAACTTCGTCCTTCACCCACCATATTTGTGGATGTATATATGAGCACCATGACCGGCGTAAAGTCCTTTTTTCCATTTCCATAGTACTTACCTTAAAATATTTCGTTGAAATATGAAATATGGTTTTCAATTATCTAAAGATATTTAAATAGCCGCGGAAGATGATGATGATCAAATGCAAAACATATTTTCTAATGATTGATCAGATAACAAAATTCAAAAGTATAATTTAAAAACAACCGCAAATCTAAGCACGACTTTGTTGTTTTTGTTTTTTCTTTGCAGTTCATGCAACTATCATATAAATTTCTCTCTCTCTCTTCCGCACCATGAACAATTCAAAGGATTCGAGCAGAATCAAGGCGGAGGTATGATCGCACGGATTTTAATGTTATGTATTTGGAAATGATTATTAATTAAAATCTTGTTAACGTGTTTACATTTGTTTACATTTACAGCGTACGACCGGTATAGCCTAATCTTATGGGGCCTACGAAGAACTGCGATACTGCTCGCATTGATAGAGTGGCCCCAGGCAATCATATTAGAAGAAGCAGTTCAAGCTTTGAAGCCAAATAAAATAAAAGCTCACACAGAAATAAATGGTCTGTCCTTAACAGAAACTAATATATGAAAACATGCGGCAATTATACATGAAAACAAGTGGAGAAGCTAAAGTCGAGTTTCCCGACTTTAAATCACTTTGTAAATATATGTTGAAAAATTAAGAAGTGTCATGCTGATTAATAATATATACGCCTTCTTCTGTCTTTTACATTTTTCACGTCCCTCAAACTTAATATACTCTTGTACATATCATATATTTAGATCTGGTTACTTCTGATTACTGAAGCTGAAGAATAAGAGACAAGAAAAAGCACACACTAGGTGAGCCTGACTTTCCGTAATTACCAGGGTTTTGATTCTATTCGTTACATAGTCTTTGGTAATGTTTGTATTGTCACTAAGTTAGAGGTAAATTATGGAGGACTTCAAATATGTAACAAGAAAGGAATGCTAAGGTCGAGTAGGCTCAACTCTTAAATACTCCACCAAAAAGGAAAAAAAATATTTTAAATTAATTTTAAAAAATTATATTAATTAAATTAAATACAAATTATTCAATACATGTATACAAAAGTGGAGACTTGTTTACATACATTTACATAGAATCGTGACTCTGCGTGTTTATATGCGTGTATTTATGCAGCAGAAAGTTGAACCAAAGCAGCAACAACAACGCATGGGCAGCGATTATTTATGGCTATTGGTTTCTTCAGCATTGACGTACGGTCACATAAACACTAATTGGAGGTATATGCCAAATTTGAGTTCAAAATTCCAAGAATTACCGGAGTTATGAAAAACATGAATTGCGGGGGAGTGGGGAGGGGATGGGGTGTATCAGAAAAAAAAACACAAACTCGTCCTTTCTCGGACTTAGGAGAATCTGGATACCAAGTTTGGTTATTCTTGCTCTTGTTCTTGCTGAGATCCTTGCGTTCATACAGACGGTCGGGCGGTCGGGCGGACGGACGGACGGACGGACGGACATGGCTATTTCGACTCGACTTGTCATCATGATTAATAATATATATACTTTGTGGGGTCTGCCACGCCCCCTTCTGTATGTTACATACATTTACACAAAACTAGTATAGCCTTTTACACTTTGGGTACAGGCTATAATAATGATTCAGTTGAGTAATTATTCGAAACATTAAAACGAATTGAAATAGCTGAATAAAATATTGTGTGAATATGCAGCATGGCACTAAAAGGAACTGTTGCTGGTTAAACGTACCAGTCCATAAATGTTGTATAAAAAACACAACTCTGTGCATCGATGAGATGGTAGTTTAAAACAAGAAAGGAGTGCTAAAGTCGAGCGAGCTTAACTCTTAAATACCCTCCCACAAAAAAGAAAATATTAAACAAAATATTTTAAAAATTACTTTAATAATTTAAAAACTGAGAATATTTAAATTATTTAATTAAATTGAATAATAAAAAATATTCAAAACATATGTACATACATAAATGGATACGTGTTTATATGCGTGATGTATGCAGCAACAACAACAGCTGCGGCATAGCATGAGATTATATACAAGGTGTGTTCCAAAGTAAACAGGACTTTTTGAATCTAGTGCTATCTGGTGTCGACTGGTGCGTTAGAATCTGCTATCTTTATCGATTGTGAGAATTTCATGGCATTTCATCGATTGGAAGTGAAGTGTCAGAATGTTTGTGTTATCGGTGCGAAAATGAGCTAGAGCCAACGTTAAATTTTGTTTTAAAATTGGTAAAACTTTTACCGAAACATTTCAATTGATGGAACAAGTTTATAGCGATGATTGCCTATCCCGTAGCAGAGTGCACGAGTGGTTTCAACGTTTTCAAAGTGGTCGTGAGGACATAAATGACGATCAACATGTGGGCCAATCAGAATTCGTGATCACCAAAAATTCATCGAAACTGTGCGTGAATTCATCAAAAATCGGCCGAAATCATCATTGAAATTGATGGAAAAGGAATTGAACATCTCCAAAACATCGATTTATCGCATTTTGATCGAACATTTGGGCTTACGAAAGGTGTGTGCACGGTGTGTTCCGCACAAATTGACTGACGACCAAAAATTGCTCAGAATCCAACATTCGAAGGACATCATTAAAGAGGTCAACAAGGACAAAAACTTCCTTTACAATATTGTGACTGGTGATGAAACGTGGTGTTTCCAATATGATCCTGAAACGAAACGCCAGAGTGCCGAATGGAAGGCACCGGACGAGCCGAAACCCAAAAAATCGCGCATGGAGAAGTCTAAAGTGAAGACAATGCTGATTTGTATTTATGATTCCACAAAGAACTTGTTCCACCCGGAACCCAATACGTTATTGCGGTATTCTACCTTGGAGTTTTGAAGCGTTTGGTACGCCGTATTCGACGTGTTCGGCCCTAATATCGCGAAGATGAAAGTTGGCGTTTGTTGCACGATAATGCGCCGTCTCATCGATCGACGCTTGTGACCGATTATTTGACCAAAAATCACATTGTAACCGTTATGCCGAAGTAGAGGCCATTCAAAAGGCTTGCACCGGAATACTACCGGCCATACCGGCCAACGAGGTAAAACACTCGTTCGACAAGCTTTTGGATCGTGCAAAAAGCTGTATTGAAGCAGAAGGAGACTATTTTGAATAAAATGAATTGATTTTGCCGAAAAAACCATTTGTTTTTTTTTTTTTTTTTTTTTTAAGTCCTGATTACTTTAGAACACACCTTGTATGGCTATAACTTTCTTTCTAGTTGACCTATCATAATGAAACTTAAACTACTTGTACGAACAAATAATCACTAACTGGATTTGAGTTCAAAATTCAAAGAGCTGGGTAAGTTATAGAAAATCGCGAATAGCGGGGGAGTGGGGAGGTGGATCGGATAAAATGAACAAACTTGCCCTTTGTCGGGACTAAAAGAACGTGTATACCAAGTTTGGTTATTCTAGCTCTTATAAGTACTTACTGAGATCTCGTCTTATTATCCTAACCGAAAATATATATACTTTGTGGGGTCTGCCACGCCTCCTTCTGTGTGTTACATGTACATTTGCACAAAACTAATATATAGTATATACATATATACATATATACAAGGGCGTAGGGCGTAGGGGCCGTATTATTATATTTGGATACAATTAAGATAATCCAATATCCTTATTGTTAATATCTAAAACTAGTACTTCCATGGAAATCATAATATTTGAATCAAGTAAAGGGTGTATCACTGCATTTTGCATCGGCATTGTAGCTAAGGGTGCGTATGATTATAAGTGCAGAAAAAAGTTAAGATAAAACAACAGGAACATCAACCAGAGTATAATTTATGGCTATAACTTCCATTAAAATTAGCGTATAACGATGATAATTGAAATACGGACCCCAAATAAGCACCAATAAGTTTGTATTGCGAGATTTGAGTAAAAATTCCACATACTACACGCCTTAATGCAAATCACTTATAATCTATATAATAATCACTATATATATATACAACAGTTTGTCCTGACTGACCGATTGGCCATCAACGCACAGCCCAAAGGGTAAGAGCTAGTAAGCTGAAATTTAGACACAAGTTTTCTTTTACAGTGCAAGTGAGCATTAAGAAGTGATTCGAAAACTCTTCAGTTTTCTACTGATCTGATGATAATTTAATTTGGTTTTTTTAATCTATAAAGATCTGCAAAATCTATACGAAAAAAAACGTGCAAATTATTCTTGGAGCTTGAATTATTGGGGTTTTAGTATTTCGCCACTATTTTTCAATTGAAAAGCTTGTGATATAATTGTTGTCTGATCGATTTCAGATTTGAGGTCCGTAGTCAATAACTATATCTACAAATTGATATTCAACGATTTTCTGCATTTTTGTAACTTTTCAATAAAAGGAAATTATTTGCCTTGATGTCATACTACATACATAAATATACATATATATAGTATGTAGTACCTGCTAGCATCTGTATACAAGATTTATTTTTCTATCTCTTATAGAGTCTGGGATCTAGGTGTTCATTCGGAGCGACAGACGGTCAGACAGACAGATAAAGCTAAGTCAGCTTGTCTTGTCGTTCTGATCAAGAATATGTGTATGTACCTTGAGGTGTCTACCACGCCTCCTTCTGTCTGTTACATTTTTCACATTGCACAAATCTGATATACTCTTGTACTTTTAGTTACAGAGTATAAAAACGCTTCTCACATCAATATACTACTTATATATCCCACACGCCAATTACCTGCCGGGCAAAATCCCATGCATATCGCTGCAATTATTTTCGGCCTTGATAGATGTTTCCTTTCCCAAGCATTGGTGGTAACTGGTGTTATATAAAAGCTACATGCCCTCTGCAATAACTAGTTAGGTTTGCAAAATGGCTCAGAAGCTAGTTGTCTTCGACGACTTTATGGGATTGGCGGTGTTTCTCTTAAATAGCATCGGAGTGGTTCCCTATGAAAAAAAAGGCAGCAGTACATCATTCAAAGTTTGGATCTACGTAAGCTTTGTGCTTAACTTGGCAAATCTGAGCTTCGGAATCTGGAACGCCATCGTCTTTATTGCAAGAAAGTTGAAGCAAAATGAGGAATTTTTCGAGTCTATTATGGTGATGTCATATTTGGGATTTGCAGTTGGCGCACAGTGTCAAATTGTTTCCCTTTGGTGGAACAAAAAAAAGTTAACGAGTCTTGTGAATCAACTGCAATCCATGTTCCCTTCAAGGGAGAGCGATCAGCAACTGTACCGGGCTCGAGTATATTCTGATCGTGCTGGTCTGATCACTAAAACCTATAGTGCCTTGCATGTTATTGTAATTCAAATCTATTCCCTCTGGGACATTGCATTCTACTTATTGAATTGGCCTAATGGCACGCGATCATTGCCGTTTGCCCCAGATGTACCTTGGGTCTGGCAGGATAACTGGACATTTTACCTGATATACTTTATGGAAGCCTTTCAAGGCTACTCAGCCGTCTTGGGACACATGTCAAATAACCTACTTATCTTCAACATCGCTACGCAGCTGATCATGCACTTTGATTATATGGCCGAAAGCATTGAGAAATATAAGCCGCAGGCGCACCTTTCGAAAGACGGTTACGCCAAAGATTTGAAGCAACTTCAGAGCTGGCTTATCTATCACAATAAGATGTTCAGGTGAGTTGTACAAAATTATTTTAAGCAACCTTATATCTAGAGAAAATTCTCAGATGCTCAGAGAGATTTCAATGATTTAAATCCATCCATTAGTTATTGAATAGTTGGTTATAGAAAATTGAAGTTTATTACTTGTAGAACAAAATGTATATATATGTGGGATGGTTGGTAGAATATAAGCGAATAAACTAAACAACCCTAGACAACAATAAGTATAACGGAGCCATAGAGAAGAGGCAAAACTACGAAGGCGACAATTATGAAGTGATCGACGGCGCAAGCATAGAGTTCGGCGAAATGACGAGAGGCGACAACAACGGCGGCAAGAAGTGCAACACAAAGCTATGACGGGCGGCGTGTGCGAGAGTCTTCGAGAGTTCGTCGAGCAGGACAGACGGTCCAACAACGATTCGAGTAGAGTTCGTCGAGCAGGACAGACGGTCCAAGAACGTTCGAGTAGAGTTCGTCGAGAAGGACAGACGGTCCATGAACGACGCAGAGAGTTCGCCTTGAGTCATAGTGAAGGACAGACGGTCCGCCAACGATGTATAAGACGAGCCAACGATGTTAAATGAAGTTTAATCACTTTTGTATTCCAAATACTCCTAAATATTATATTGTAATCCAAATATCAGCTTAACCAATAAACAGAACCCCACATTTTGGGCGCTCGTCCGTGATCGTGAGTGTGGTTAAGTTTGGAAAAGAAGAATAGTGAAGCTGAAATACATAATAATTTTTATTAAATCGAGAAACGTGTCTGGTCGGCAGTACACATGTACATAGCTGTCTTTAAAAAAAAATTACGACGTAAAAGTGAAATTCATAACAACGATGTCAACATTGAACGATTTGATTAGCAACAATTTGCGTGTTAGCAAAAGAAGCAGCATAGTCGCGCTGCACAAATTTGTGTTTGAGTGTGAAGGAGACAGAAATAACCGCAAACGACTACGAGAGTTTAGAGGATTTGATTTTAACGAAAATAGTGGAAAATTTATGAATAAAAGAGTCTATATAAATGAAAATTTAACTGACGGTGATCTTGTTTCGATTTGTAATTTGCTAGAAATTGGCTACAAAGTGGAAAACGAATTATGTGTGCATATATTTTGCAATTTGCAAGTGAATCGTTTGTTGTCGAGCAAACAGGTAGAGGACGTATTTAGCGACGAAGAAGAAATATTGAGTGAAGAAGATAGTGTCGTTGAGATGAGAAGCGCAAACAGTAACATAATGTCGACACCGCAACAACGAAAAGAATTACCAAGTACAGCAGCAATGCAAACGGTTTGTCAAGGTCAAAATAGTTGCGCAGGTAGCGGCATACGCGACGACCGTTTCGGTAGCGGCCATCGAGACGCCGTCGCCAATGAATTCTTAGAAAACGGAGACCGTTACACAAGTGATAGAATGCAAACGCCTAGGTTTGCGATCAGTTTTCGCGATGTCGAAGAGAACATTCGATGTTTTGATGGCACAAATGCTATTCCAGTGGAAGTGTGGCTAGAGGAGTTTGAAGAGCAGGCGACGTTAATGTGCTGGAATGATTTCCAAAAATTTTTGTTTGCAAAGAAAGCGTTAAAAGGCATAGCAAAACTTTTTGTGTTTAGCGAGCGGGGATTAAATTCGTGGTATACCCTTAAAAATGCTCTTCTCAGTGAATTTAAATCAGTCGTTAGTAGTAAGCAAATTCACGAGCAACTCGCGCAAAGTAAACATGGCAGAAACGAGTGTCTATTCGAATATTTTTATCGGCTTAAAGACATTGCGTCCCGTGGACAAATAAAAGAAGATTCTTTGATTCAATATTTGATTGACGGCATAAATGATAAATCGGCAAATAAAACAATTCTGTACGGTGCGAAAAATATAAATGAATTTAAAGAAAAGTTAAAATTTTATAAAACGATGGTCGATAAAGAAAATGAGAGTGAAAAAATATATCGGAATGATGACGCAAAGTGGAAAATGAAAAAGAGTGTGAATGAAAATAGAAATATGAAAAAGGAAATACAGTGTTACAACTGTGGTGAAAAAGGGCACTTTTCGAGTAATTGTCAAAACAAAGAGAAAGGTCGAAAATGTTATAAGTGTCAACAATTTGGGCATATTTCTAAAGAATGCAAGCAAAGTGAAAAGCTAACAGAGAAACAAAGTCCCATTAAGATGAATACACGTAATTTGCAGCAGAAAAACGATTTAACGAGCAAAGAAATTTTAATCGGTGAAAATAAGTGCACAGCCCTATTCGATACGGGAAGTAAATATAGCATAATACGCGAAGATTTTTACAATGATATCGGCAAACCAAAACTGGAAAGTTGTAACGTTTTTCTTGTTGGATTTGGTAGTGACCGTAACGCGAGTAAAATTAAACCGATTGGACAATTCAAACATAAAATTTTTGTTGATGGTGAACAATTTTGTATGAACTTTATGGTGGTTCCAATCAGATGTATCGATGTGAAAGCAATTATAGGTGAAGAACTGTGCGAGCAAGCTGAAATAATTTTTAGCCGCGATGGAGTAAAAGTGCGTAAGAATGATACTGACAATTTTGATGTAAACATGCTCAATATAGGTACTGTGGTCGTCAGCAATGAATGTAATGTAGACGAAGAGGCTAGCGACACAGCCAAACAAGAAGTGCGAAATTTAATTTCAAATTACGTGCCAATGCAAACGAAAACAACAAAAGTCGAAATGCGCATTATCCTAAATGACGAAACTCCCATATGCTCGCGTCCGCGTCGTTTGGCTTTCACTGAAACGGGCATTGTTGACAAACAAATCGACGAATGGTTAGAAAACGGTATAATTGAAGAATCCACATCCGAATTTACAAGCCCCGTTGTTCTTGTTAAAAAACGAGATGGCACAACAAGACTATGCGTCGACTTTAGAAGAATTAATAAGGTATGTGTTAAGGATCAGTTTCCTTTACCGCTCATTGAGGATCAACTCGATCGACTACAAGAGGCAAAAATTAGCATAGGGATAGAAGAGCAAAACGCCATCGATAGTCTGAAGAAAATGCTGACAGAAGGTCCAGTCCTGAATATCTACAGCCAAACGTATGAAACCGAAGTTCACACTGATGCTTCTCAAGATGGATTTGGGGCAGTGCTCATGCAAAAGTCGCCTGACGATGGGCACTTACACCCTATTTACTTTATGAGCAAGAAGACGACCCCTGCGCAGAGAGAATACCCAAGTTACGAGTTAGAAGTATTAGCAGTTGTAGAAGCTATTGCCAAGTTTAGGGTATATCTCTTGGGAATAAATTTTAAAGTATACACCGACTGTGAGGCATTTGCAAAGACCATGAAGAAGGCAGATGTAAGTAAGAGAATCGGCCGTTGGGTGATGTTCCTCCAAGAGTATAATTGTGAAGTGTGTTACCGCCCTGGCACACGTATGAAGCATGTCGATGCGCTCAGTCGCTATCCAGTGAGAACCATAATAGGCGAACAAATCAATATAGGCATCGAGGAGGCACAGTCACATGACGAAACAATAAAGGCGATCAAACAAATTCTCAAAGATGGAAATACTTCATACAACGACTATTTCTTGAAGTCTGGTATTCTGTACAAATTAGTTAACGACGTAGAACTAATTGTAGTCCCCAAAGAGATGCAGAAAAATATTATCAGCCAAGCACATGATAAAGGTCATTTTGCTGCCAAGAAGACGAAGGAGTTAGTGTGCAGAGATTACTTCATCCCCCAGATTGACGAAAAGATACAAAAATACATCGATTGCTGTATTCCGTGTATTTTGTATAACCGAAAACGTGGTAAGCAAGAGGGCTTACTACACCCATTACGAAAAGAGGATATACCACTGCACACATATCACATCGATTTTTTGGGTCCACTTAAGTCAACGCATAAAGACTACAACCACATCTTGGCGGTCATCGATTCATTTACGAAGTTTTGTTGGCTGTATCCTACGAAGTCTACAACAGCAAGCGAAGTTATCACAAAACTAAGCATCCAGAGTACAGTGTTTGGCAATCCTGCTGTCATTATTTCGGATAAAGGATCTGCTTTTCTGGCCCAAGATTTTATAGACTACTGCGATAAGGAAGGTATCAAGAGAGTGAATTCGACGACAGGCCTACCACGCGTAAATGGTCAAGTGGAGCGCCTAAATACGATAATAATTGCAGTCCTCGCCAAGCTAAGTATTGATGACCCGACGAAATGGTATCGACATGTTGGCAAAGTTCAGCAGGCAGTTAACTCGACGTTTACCAGAAGCATCAATACTACTCCATTCCAGCTATTGATCGGCGCAAGAATGCGAACTAGCGAAGACCCCCAGCTACGAAAACTTATCGACGAAGAAATTATAGCCAGATTCGACGAAGACCGCAACGAGTTGAGACAAAAAGCGAAGTCACAAATCCTGAAGGTGCAAGAAGAGAATAAAAAGACGTACAATCGAAGGCGTAAAGAGGCACGACAATACGATGTGGGCAATCTTGTCGCAATAAAAAGGACACAGTTTGGTAGTGGATTAAAACTGAAGCCTAAGTTTTTGGGTCCCTATCGTGTCATTAAGGTGAAGCACAACAACGCTTACGATGTGCAGAAATTGGGCAGCTTTGAGGGCCCAAAGAGCACATCAACATGTGCAGAGTATATGAAGCCATATTCGGTTTGCAGCCTAGAGGATGTTGGTAGCAGCGCATTCGGGGCGAATGCGTAGTCAGGACGGCCGAATGTGGGATGGTTGGTAGAATATAAGCGAATAAACTAAACAACCCTAGACAACAATAAGTATAACGGAGCCATAGAGAAGAGGCAAAACTACGAAGGCGACAATTATGAAGTGATCGACGGCGCAAGCATAGAGTTCGGCGAAATGACGAGAGGCGACAACAACGGCGGCAAGAAGTGCAACACAAAGCTATGACGGGCGGCGTGTGCGAGAGTCTTCGAGAGTTTGTCGAGCAGGACAGACGGTCCAACAACGATTCGAGTAGAGTTCGTCGAGCAGGACAGACGGTCCAAGAACGTTCGAGTAGAGTTCGTCGAGAAGGACAGACGGTCCATGAACGACGCAGAGAGTTCGCCTTGAGTCATAGTGAAGGACAGACGGTCCGCCAACGATGTATAAGACGAGCCAACGATGTTAAATGAAGTTTAATCACTTTTGTATTCCAAATACTCCTAAATATTATATTGTAATCCAAATATCAGCTTAACCAATAAACAGAACCCCACATATATATAAAACAGTTTGTCCTGACAGACTAATTGGGGACGTACAATGCACAGCTCAAGCATCCGTTCATAGCGTAGGTTGGCGATAAGAAGGTTTTGGAAAATTCATGGACTAAAGGTCCATTATATCCTTTGCCTGGGAAGTGCGAAGTTGCGCTTTGAAAATAAGCAGAATTACGCCAGAAAACGATGATTCATCGCTTTTAAATAAACAAATGCTTATTTGTTTTTCTTCTTTTTTCGTCCTTCTTTGTCTTCAGGTTGGCGGATCAAATGAATGAAGTTTTTGGTGTACCACTCCTGCTGACATTTTTTGCGTCATCGGGTGGTATGTGCTTTTTGGGATTTGAGATAACTATCGGCATAAGTCCCGAGTTGATGGTAAAGGTCGCAGTCTTCTTGGCGACAATTGTGATAAATATATTTTTGCTATGTGTCTTTAGTCAGCAGTTGATTGACGCAGTAGGTTTATCCATTTTTCAATATTTTGCATACACATTTTTCTCTTAATTTTCTTACCCTGCAGAGCACCAAGATTTCCGAGGCGGTATACAACATGGACTGGCCGGCTGCTGATGTTCGTTATCAGAAGATGCTCGTAGTTATGGCTCAGCGAGCGCAGCAGCCCGTAAGCCTAAGGGCCACCATATTTGTGGCTGTATCTATGAGCACCATGACCGATGTAATTATTTTTTTCCATTTCCATAGTACTTACCTTAAAATTAAATTGTAGTATCCATTATGATATTTTAACTAGTCGCTGAAGATGATGATGATCAAATGCAAAACATACTTTCTAATGATTGATCATATACTATAGAAAAAACTAAATAGTATAATTTGCGAAATCAGTCAACAACAAATCAAAATACGATTTTCGTATTATTTGTTTCTCTTTCTTTGCAGTTTATGCAACTATCATATAAATTTCTCGCTCTCCTCCGCACCATGTACAATTGAAAGGATTCAAGAATAGAGGAGCAGAATCAAGGCGGCGCTATGATCGTAAGGATGTGAATCTAATTTTTTTTGGCAATTATTATGAATTAAAATTTTGTAAATGTAATAAATGTCTAAATATATAATAAATGATAATAACATGATCGTTCTTTATAGCCTGTTCCCAAAGGGTTAAAGGCTATACTAGTTTTGTGCGCATGTATGTAACACAAAGAAGGAGGCGTGGCAGACCCCACCAAACTTAGTACCCAGATTCCCCTAAGCCCTAGGCAGGTCAAGTTTATTTTTTTTATTCTGATATACCCCCCCACTCCCCCGCAATTCGTGTTTTTGTTTATAAATTCCGTAATTCTTGGAATTTTGAAATCAGTTTTAGTAGTTACGTCCAGTTAGTGCTTATATGTCCATATGCCAAGTTTCATCATGATAGGTCAATTCGGAAGAAAGTTATAGCCATACATAAAATCGCTGCCCATGCTCTGCTTTTTTAATATATTTTTTTTTAATTTTTAATTTTTGTGGAGAGTACAGGTTACTTTACTGTAGTAGACAATTATTTTGATTTGGAAAAGTGTGCGAATTTGATTTTCTTTTTGTTGTTTTCTATGAATTATTATGGATATATTCATTTAGGGCTCTAAACGAACTAACCGTTCTTTCTTTCCTTTTAATTTGTGATGTGAGTTTAGTCTATAAAGATGGGAATACATTGAACAAGTGGAAAAAGCAGTTCAAAAAACGAAATTGTGCGAAAGAGCGATGTAATAATTTCGAAATTTTTGCAGTTTTCGCAAACTTAAGAATCTGGTTCATAATATCAGTTTGTTTTGTAGAAATTTAGCGTGAAAGATAAGAAACTTATGAGTATAGGTATATATTATATAGTATTTGAATATTTTATAATGTAATTAGCTGTTAGTTTAGGAAAATAGTATCTGGTATAGAACGTGAAACTTTCTTTTCAATCAATAATAAATTCGAATAGAATACAAAAAAGTGGCAATAAATCTCAAAGCGTACGATGATTGTTGATATAAATAACATAAGCCGATAAAAGGAGGGTTTTTACTTGTTTGTCATTTAAGTTAAAAGTGCAATTAAATGCAATATGCTATATTTTTTCTTATGTTATGTTCAGATAGAAGTTTCAATTTTTAGACGAAATCTACTGTAAGTAAACTTTAAAATATAGTGCCGTTTACTTTTCGCTCTCAAAATGTAGTAGACAAAAGTAGGTCAGGAATTTAAAGCTTATTTCCTGAACTATTAATGACTCCGATCTAACTATTCACAGCTCTAATGAAGAGTGTGAGTGGAAAACCGGTCTAAGGCAAATCGACGACACGATTCATCAAGTGCTAGACAGGGCAATGCACCACCCTCGTTAGTGAGAAGTGGTGCCGGGCCTCCTTTATGCGATAAAAGCTCGACAAATGTTTGGCCAAGTGTGCGACAATTTAAAATTGTAGTGTTTTTCCCGTTTTTTTTCTTGCAACATTGCAATCAGCGTCTGGAGCCTAGAACCTAGCCAGTAGGCCATAGTTTGGTGCTACACTTAAGCGTTTAAGCCGTGTCTGATCGCCTTCCGGTTCCGCCGGACATTGCCATTTCTTACTGGTGCTGCTCTGAGAGGAAGTTGAACATTTAATTACGTGTAGCACGGCAAACAATTGAATTGCAACAGCAACAGCAACAACAACATTGAATTGGGACAAATAATTGTTGTTGTCATTTCATCGGAAAGTGTTATAGTGCTTTTAATTAATCCTTGTGTGCTTGTGGTGGGTTCTTTGCTCGGCAGCTCACCTTTGATGTTGAAAATGTATTTAATATACAGAAATATTGGCTTGAATACGAGTACCCGTTTCCACCGCAGTTTGCTCAGAGATTTTACCAAATGAAAAGAACGTAAATATACAAATTTAAATAGCTAAAACAGGTCAAACAAAGTAAGAAAAATGAATCCGAGAAAACCCTAACTATTCATCATAGTTAGTTCAAGTAATTTATAATTGCAATAAATGTGTAATCTCATTCGATTACTTAAATGTTTTCCTTTTCTAACATTCCTTTTTTATTAATATAGAGGTTGTGTGATGGGTCCAACATCTTTTCTTGAGCAGTTACCTCAGTTCGCTCTATTTTTTTGTCTTTACGCAAAAGATTATTATTCTTATGCTTGTAGACCTATGCTACTATAAGTTCAAATTTGCATTACTATCTTAGCTCTGGATAGCTCTACATTATACAATTATCCCACTTTCTAACTTTGCTTTAAGCATAACATAATAACAATAGATAATCGCATTTACAATACATTCAACTGAGCACCGATTTCACATTTTTCACTTTTTTCAGCCAAAAAACTAGCAATAGAATGATCGTTTATCATGACAACTGATTGCTTAGTGTGTCTCTTTTGAGAACTTGGATAATAAGGTTTATTTGAAATAAATCATTAAAATCAAACATTTTACAACCTACAACCTTATAGTAGAAAATATTAAAATTTTCTTCAACTTTATTTAGTTACTTGCTTTTATTCACATTCTACTAATTGCTTGAAGGCACTCTATTAACACAGCATTTTTATTATTTATTGGTTGAGTTTGACAACTATCCGTAACGATTCCAATTATTCGTCTACCTACAAATATATCAATTAAACTAGATTACTGAATAAAATATTGTGTGAATGCGAACAAAGGGACAACCCAATTTATTAAACACGCAAAACATTCGTGGGTAGTCGAAGAAGTATTCGAAAATGTACTTCAACTGTAAAATATTTAAAGGAAGCTTAAAAGAGAGTTACATTTTTAGCAATATTCAGTTAAAATATTTCTAACTTATTTATTATTTGTATTCAATAAAATACAGACGTCTTGAACTTTTTTACTTCAAAAGTCACGTTTGCTTTACAGTTAATAATTTTGTAAAAGAAAGTGCACCATAAACTCGTTTTTTTTGTCAAGTTATAATTTTCCGACAACAATCCGAACCAACTTCGTCCATATTTATTACGGGTTAGTCAGCTGTCCCGTGTTTTATAGCTAGGAAGGTCTTAGAGGGTTCCAACGTATGTCACAACTCAACCATATCAAAATATGCCAGCATTTAAGGCGCCAATTACGTGCCAGGCATTTCAGATGCCAATGTTTCTCAAGGGCGTATATTGTGGCAATTACCTGGCCTTCTCAGATTCTTCATTCGTTGTTTATAACTTTTGTTATATAAAGGCAACTGCTCCAATAACAAGTTCATTTTGAACAGTGACACAATCGCTATTTATTTACGAGGACTTTAGGAGCTTGGTGGTTTTTATTATTAATATTTTTTTTAATAACATAGCTGTGGATTGAAAAAGGCGAATGTCAGTAGTAATCTCAAACATTTCAAATATATAGAATATTTATGCAGATAGGAGAGAGAAGGCAGCAGTTGTCGTCATGGAAATAGAACACATACATACTTGTATAAGGTGTTACTTATACTTGAGCCTAATACACGTTCGTTATCTATGCCGTTCTTTCATTACAATCCTAATTAATACATTATCAAATAATGCAGCACGCACCTGACAGCTGAGTGTTTTTTGACTGATTACTTTAAATCAAGTGAGTACCGATTAATGACAATGTTCCACAAATCTCGCTGTCCTGCCTTTCCATCTTCCATGTTTACCTACAAAATGGTTATAATTTTCACTTTAAAGTTAACAAAAAGGACAGATCTTAAATAAAGTACTCTTTTTTTTAATTAGACTTTTAAATTATATTAAAAACAAAACTGTCCCAAAACCTATGATAGTTGAGATTCAAGATTTGATTTAAGATGAGTTAATAAGATATTCATTATAACGATCAGAAAGAAGCAAGAATTTTGTGTTATGTTTTTGTTCTAATCGATGATTCGAATAATTTAAAACTAAATAAATATAGTACGTAATTTGAGGTTTTGTTAAATTATTAAACATTTTTATTATTAATTACAGACAGTGCAAAAGAAAAGGATAATAATAAATAAAATTACTAAGTGTATTTACATACGATTAACTTATACTCCTGATAAAAAAATGCTGTCGACTATAATACAATTTAAAACAAGTCTTTAAGAAGTTGACGCTGTAACCAGTAATCAAAGCTTGGTTCTGACGTAACGATATGAAAATTCAGTGTGAGGCCAATCGACGACATGATTCATCAAGTTCTAGTCTGGGCAATGCTTCACCCCCGTTAATGGAAAGTGGTGCTGAAGGACGACAAATGTTTAACCAAGTGTGCGACAATTTTAATTTGTAGTGCTTCTTTCGTTTTCTTTTATTTTGCAACACTCCAATCAGCGCCTGAAGCCTAGTTTGGTGCTACACTTAAGCGTTTAAGCCGTGTCTGAACGCCTTTCGGTTCCGCCGGACAATGCCATTTCTTACTGGTGCTGCTCTGAGAGGAAGTTGAACATTTAATTAAGACTAGCACGGCAAACAATTGAATTGCAACAGCAACAGCAACAACAACATTGAATTGGGACAAATAATTGTTGTTGTCATTTCATCGGAAAGTGTTATAGTGCTTTTAATTAATCCTTGTGTGCTTGTGGTGGGTTCTTTGCTCGGCAGCTCACCTTTGATGTTGAAAATGTATTTAATATACAGAAATATTGGCTTGAATACGAGTACCCGTTTCCACCGCAGTTTGCTCAGAGATTTTACCAAATGAAAAGAACGTAAATATACAAATTTAAATAGCTAAAACAGGTCAAACAAAGTAAGAAAAATGAATCCGAGAAAACCCTAACTATTCATCATAGTTAGTTCAAGTAATTTATAATTGCAATAAATGTGTAATCTCATTCGATTACTTAAATGTTTTCCTTTTCTAACATTCCTTTTTTATTAATATAGAGGTTGTGTGATGGGTCCAACATCTTTTCTTGAGCAGTTACCTCAGTTCGCTCTATTTTTTTGTCTTTACGCAAAAGATTATTATTCTTATGCTTGTAGA